TGCAAGTTTATATTTCACAATTCAGACTTTTTATCGTTTATATCTCACAATTCTGACTTTATATCAAGAAATTCTTAATTTTTTTCAGAATTGTGAGAACAAAGGTCAGATTTGCAAGATATAAACTTGCAATTGGGAAAATAAAGTCCGAATTGTGACATAAAAAGTTGCAATTATTTTTTATTCCGTGGTGGAAACAAGCTTGACTATTTTTTGTGTATTTTCTGTTTATATCTCACAATTCTTACTTTCTTTCTCTGATTTGTGAGTTTATCTCATTATTTTTACTTCACATCTTGTAATTCTGAGAAAATTAGGAATTGCGAGAAAAACGTCAGAATTGTCTGATAAAATCTGCAATTACCTTTTCTATTTTTTATTTACGAGTTTATTATTATTATGAAGTTCCGATTTGTGAGCTTATATCTTGTTTATTTATTATTTGCGAGTTTATTATTATGACGTTCCGATTTGCGAGTTTATATCTTGTTTATTTATTATTTCCGAGTTTATTATTATTACGACATTCCGATTTGCGAGTTTATATCTTGTTTATTTATTATTTCCGAGTTTATTATTATGACGTTCCGATTTGCGAGTTTATATCTTAATTTATTATTTCCGAGTTTATTATTATTATGACGTTCCGATTTGTGAGTTTATATCTTGTTTATTTATTATTTCCGAGTTTATTATTATTACGACATTCCGATTTGTTTATATCTTGTTTATTATTTCCGAGTTTATTATTACGATGTTCCGATTTGCGAGTTTATATCTAGTTTATTTATTATTTGCGAGTTTATTATTATTACGACATTCTGATTTGTGAGTTTATATCTTGTTTATTTATTATTTGCGAGTTTATTATTATTACGATGTTCCGATTTGCGAGTTTATATGTTTATTTATTATTTCCGAGTTTATTATTATTATGACGTTCCGATTTGTGAGTTTATATCTTGTTTATTTATTATTTCCGAGTTTATTATTATTATGACGTTCCGATTTGTGAGTTTATATCTTGTTTATTTATTATTTCCGAGTTTATTATTATTATGACGTTCCGATTTGTGAGTTTATATCTTGTTTATTTATTATTTCCGAGTTTATTATTATTACGACATTCCGATTTGTGTTTATATCTTGTTTATTTATTATTTGGAAGTTTATTATTATTACGATGTTCCTGTCACGGTGCGTGCGGGGAGATGAAGCGAGGACTCAATTGCAGGAGAAATGGTTATTTATTTTAATAATGAAAATGAAACAAAAAACAAACTCAAACCACCCCGAGGGGGAAAAACAGACAGGCAGGCTCAAAACTGCACTCCATGCAGACATATAACACACACAATGAGAAATGACGGATCAGCACAGGATGACAGACACAAGGAGAATAAATAGGAACCAAACGAGGAGGCTAACGAGGGAGACACAGGTGGAGCAACTTAAACTATAACGAGGTAACAAGATGGGAGGGGCAAGACAATAGACAGGAGAGAGCACATGGCAACAGACAAACACAACACAAGCCATGTGCTCACAGAACAGTCATCTGGTGGCCCTCCTGGCCACACCCGCTGAAGACTGTGACAGAACCCCCCCCTTGAGGAGCGGATTCCAGACGCTCCACCAAGAGAAATCCTGGAGGGAGGTGGAACGGAGGTGGATCAGGGGGAGGGATGGTGGGCCAGGCCCGTGTAGTGGAAGAGGCCCTGGGGATAGGAGGTAACCCAGGGTTCCAGGGCGGGGCCGGCCGGGCAGGAGGCCAGGGTGGAGCTTGAGCGGAGCCGACAGGGCGTGAGGCTTGAGCGGAGCCGGCAGGGCGTGAAGCTTGAGCTTAGGCGGAGCCGGCAGGGCGTGAAGCTTGGGTGGAGCCGACACGGCCACCTTTGGGGGCGCTGCAGCCTTGTCGGCCATCACGGGAGGCGCTGCAGCCCCCTTAGCTGAAGAACGTGCCAGGAACTCCACAAACCCCTCAAAAGATACATGATTGCATCCTAGCATGCTCCAGGGGCTAATGGGCTCATCCAGGGCATAATTTAGTAAGTCCTTCAGCGCAGAGTCATTATAGCCCAGCCCCTCTGCCACATTCCTGAACTCCATGGCAAACTCCCTCAGCTCGGTCCCTCGTTGACGGAGGGAGCTCAGGGTCTCCAGCTGGAGCATGCGCTGGTAGAGGGGGCTGGAGAGAGTAGAGACCGGTAGGCGGTGTGAGCCCATTCTCCGCTGAGTCCCCATGTTGGCTGATCCGTTCTGTCACGGTGCGTGCGGGGAGATGAAGCGAGGACTCAATTGCAGGAGAAATGGTTATTTCTTTTAAAAAAAATGAAACAAAAACAAACTCAAACCACCCCGAGGGGGAAAAACAGACAGGCAGGCTCAAAACTGCACTCCATGCAGACATATAACACACACAATGAGAAATGACGGATCAGCACAGGATGACAGACACAAGGAGAATAAATAGGAACCAAACGAGGAGGCTAACGAGGGAGACACAGGTGGAGCAACTTAAACTATAACGAGGTAACAAGATGGGAGGGGCAAGACAATAGACAGGAGAGAGCACATGGCAACAGACAAACACAACACAAGCCATGTGCTCACAGAACACAGTCATCTGGTGGCCCTCCTGGCCACACCCGCTGAAGACTGTGACAGTTCCGATTTGCGAGTTTATATCTTTATTTATTATTTCCGAGTTTATTATTATTACGACATTCCGATTTGCGAGTTTATATCGTGTTTATTTATTATTTGCGAGTTTATTATTATTACGACGTTCCGATTTGCGAGTTTATATCTAGTTTATTTATTATTTCCGAGTTTATTATTATTACGACGTTCCGATTTGCGAGTTTATATCTTGTTTATTTATTATTTCCGAGTTTATTATTATTACGATGTTCCGATTTGCGAGTTTATATCTTTATTTATTATTTCCGAGTTTATTATTATTACGACGTTCCGATTTGCGAGTTTATATCTTGTTTATTATTTGCGAGTTTATTATTATTACGACGTTCCTATTTGCGAGTTTATATCTTGCAGTTTTGAGCTTATATCTCACAATAATGACTTTACATCTTGCAATTCTTAATTTTCTCAGAATTGTGAGGAAACAAGTCAGATTTGTTTGATTTAAACTCATAATTGCAAGAAAAAAAGGTCAGAATTGAGAGATAAAAAGCCTCAATTACCTTTTTATTTTTTTATTCCATGGCGGAAATGACTTTCCATAGTATTCAGCAAGTGTACATCTGGAAAATTAAATGGTTATTTTGAATTTCTGATTGAATTTTTCTATTGTTCCCTCTTCAATCATCACACTGTTAATGCAAAGTCAAGCCAAGCACTTTGCATTGTGGGAAACAGTATTGTGCGCAGTGTGCTCTGTTGTATACACACTGCAGAAACAGTACGCGTCGCATGCCAATTTCAATCTGCAACTACCAACAACCCACATTTCAGTCTTCACAAACCTTTCAAATATTCCACGTGATTTCTGTGCACTGTGCACTTACTTCAAAACATTTAAATGATCACTTCAATCTACTGCATATGACATTTTTAAAGTCAAATATTCTAAATGATACTTTCAGTAAGTATACATTGACACATATTATATGCTCTTTTTGGAAGAATGCAAAGTCATATTCAAATATAATCCGTTGACTAATTCGAGATCGACCCGTCGCCCTCTGCACAGTTTTGGCTCAGCCGCCATCCAAGCAGCTTCATCAACCAAACCTCATTCAGTAGCTGTTGTTCACAACAACCGAGTCCTCAGTTTAAAGCAGGATGGTCTGAGACCGAAGCGACAGGTGCACTAACATATTGACTTGTTTTTAATCTCAGTCTCTCGTTCTAGTTTACTCTACGTAGCTCAAAACATAGAAAAGGGCAAAAACAACATTCAGGTGATACAGTACGTTCTGAGTTGAAATGAATACAAGTCCTCCGCCGCTGCTTTGGGCAATAGAGCAGGAGGGTTGAGCGCTCCTCTGTCCCACACCAGGCCTCGGCCTCCAAACATACTCTATTCAAGCACATGAATGCATGCACAAGCTCTATTTCACTGCATTCGGAGAAGCGCAATTCATTATGCGTCACAACAATGCATTCTGAGTCTGCTACGCTGCCGTTCAAAACGTTGGGGTCAGTAAGATTTAATACTTTTATTCATCAAGGATGCATTAAACTGATGAAAAGAGACAGTAAAGACAGTAAATGAATGCTGTTCTTTTGAACTTTCTGTTCATCAAAGAATCCTGAAAAATAAAATGTATCAGTTTTCAATTAAATTAATTGATCATTTCATGAAAGTAATTTAAACTGAAATTTTTTCTGCATCGATTTTTTTTTATTAATTTTGATTACATCAACTTAATATTAAGTGTAATTTATACTGAAATTTCTGCTTTAATATTCAGTGTAATTTAAACTGAAATGTCTGCATTAATTGATTTTTATCTTGATTACATCAACTTAATATTAAGTGTAATTTAAACTGAAATTTCTGCTTTAATATTCACTATTTTAATATTGCGTAATTTAAACTGAAATGTCTGCATTAATTGATTTTTCTTAAAAAATAACAGATAAGATTAATATATAAATAATCATAGATAATAGATGTGTTGAAATTAGTTGGAACAACTTAATATTTTTGAGTAATCATTTTAAACAATTGTGTTCATGCTACAAATTATTCAGTTCCTCCAAGTCAGAGTAGTTTGTTGATTAAACATCATTTGAATTACATGTTGTCATAACTGTTGCGCTAAATTATTATTATTATTCTTTTTTAGCCAAAACATTTATTTTGTATTTTGAGTGTAGAATGATTTCTGAAGGATCATGTGACGCTGAAGACTGGAGTAATGATGCTGAAAATTCAGCTTTGACCACAGAAATAAATTACAGTTTAACAGATATTCACATAGAAAACAGCTATTTTAAATTGTAATAATATTTCACAATTTTTAATCAAATAAATGCAGCCTTGTTGAGCAGAAGAGACTTCTTTCAAATCATCAAATCTTTTGAATGCTTGAATAATCTGCTTAATTTCGTCCTGCATATCTGTGTACTTGTGTAGAGTATGTTTCTGCGGCCCGACAAACATCAACATAAACATTCGAGACTGGCACTAAGATTTGGTCCTTAAACGTGATGGCGCGTTGCGTCTAAGCACCATGCGAGGTCTTCACTTTAAGAGGAACTCCCTGCAGTTTTAGTCTAGTTTTGATTGTTTGAAGGCTGCAGAGTACAGAAGATGCTGTCATTATATAAGTATACTCTTCAGAAAAGTTGGTGACTTATTAATAGCCTAAACCCTCGCGCCTGTAAAAACACAAAGCTGAAACAGTCTGTTAATGCCGGTTCCTCATAAACCCCTGAGTGTTTTCCGCTTGGCTACTGACCTGCGGCCAGCTCCTTTGCACTAAACCAGCTGATAAGGCCACACACGCACTCATAAGTACTCAACAAACCTGCCCTCAACCCACACACCTGCCCCAGACAAGCAGGGCATCCTTGGACAGTCCTCGGAAGCGGTTTAGTTTTTGGATTGTACTGAATGCTATTGTAATCGGGGCTGCATCAGATCTCCGTCGACTCGATCCTCTCCAGTCGGGTCGACACGGGCCACGGCGGAGCCAGCTGGTGCATCTCCGGCAGCTTCTTCTCCTCCGCCGGCGGTGTGGGAGAGGTGAGCGATATGGAGACGGACACGGGGGGCTCTGGCGGCGACGGCGTGGCTATCTGGGCTCCCAGCTTGTCCACGCGCTCCTCCAGAGCCTGGTTCTTCTGCAGCATCTCCACGTAGCTGAGCTGCAGCTGCGCCTGGTACTTTAGCACACGCTCTTTCTCGTCCTGCCAGGTCTGGCGCTCCTGGGCGAAGGTGAGCGCCTGCTGCTCTCGCTGCTGCCGCTCCAGACGCAGCTCGCCCTGCAGTCGCTCCAGCTGCCGCCGCAGGTCGCCCGACTCCTGACACTGGACCTTGGAGTCGTCGCTCTGCAGCGTGAGCAGCGGGTCTGGTGCCGGGAGCGCAGGGAGGGATGTGGGCGTCTCTGGAGGGGACAGAAGATGCTCTCGGCTGTGGGACGCCACCAGCTGACCCATATCGGTCAGGCTGGGCTCACTGGAGCGACTGGAGGTGCTGCTGAGTTCACTGAGTATATATAAATATCAAGTAGAGCCGCATTGTTTAGGGCAAAAATATAATAAATAATATTTCACTGTAAAATATTTTTTTTTTAAAGAAAAATAATAAAAGTTTATGTATATCAATATGACTATAAAATAACACTAATAATTATTTTAATTATGATTATGATGATAGTTATTATTTTTACTGTTATTGAGAGCTGGATAAAACAAGAGCTTGAACAATGAGTTGTGTAGCATGTTCTGAAAGAAAGGGCCTAATCTTCCTAATGTTGTATAAAGCAAATCTGCAGGACCGGGCAGTTTTAGCAATGTGATCTGAGAAATTCAGCTTATCATCAATCACAACTCCAAGGTTTCTGGCTGTTTTTGAAGGAGTTATGGTTGATGCGCCTAGCTGGATAGTGAAATTGTGCTGAAGTGATGATGGGTTTGCTGAAACCACAAGCAGTTCTGTCTTGGCTAGGTTGCCGGCAGCTTCTTCTCCTCCGCCGGCGGTGTGGGAGAGGTGAGCGATATGGAGACGGACACGGGGGGCTCTGGCGGCGACGGCGTGGCTATCTGGGCTCCCAGCTTGTCCACGCGCTCCTCCAGAGCCTGGTTCTTCTGCAGCATCTCCACGTAGCTGAGCTGCAGCTGCGCCTGGTACTTTAGCACACGCTCTTTCTCGTCCTGCCAGGTCTGGCGCTCCTGGGCGAAGGTGAGCGCCTGCTGCTCTCGCTGCTGCCGCTCCAGACGCAGCTCGCCCTGCAGTCGCTCCAGCTGCCGCCGCAGGTCGCCCGACTCCTGACACTGGACCTTGGAGTCGTCGCTCTGCAGCGTGAGCAGCGGGTCTGGTGCCGGGAGCGCAGGGAGGGATGTGGGCGTCTCTGGAGGGGACAGAAGATGCTCTCGGCTGTGGGACGCCACCAGCTGACCCATATCGGTCAGGCTGGGCTCACTGGAGCGACTGGAGGTGCTGCTGAGTTCACTGAGGGCCTTTTTCAGCCGTGCGACCTCCGTCTCAAACGCGCTCAGCTTGTCCCGCAGCACTGTGACCTGCAGACACAGAGACATATAGACATATCAGATAGGGCTACATGATTCAGGGCAAAAATCTAACAAATAATATTATTTCACTGTAAAATAAAGTTTTTAAGAAAAATAATAATAATAGTATATGCATATCAATATGACTATAAAACAATACTAATAATTATTTTAACTATGATTATGATGATGGTCATTATTATTATTGAGAGGAATCTTGATA